AGAGAGAACAACTTATATATATATATGCCAAAAATAAGGGTAACTACTATGAAGGTATAGAATATAACTCTAAAAATGAAAAATAAAAATGTTTTCTAAAAAAGGGATTGATAAGATGTTGGTTGAAAAAGGGAAAAAGAAAAATTCAAAAAAAAAGACAGTTTTAAAAAAATTAACTTTGAAAAACTAAAGAATCATGGTAAAAATGCCATGAATTCTATGTGCAGTATTCCCCTAGCACTGGAGTTCTGCCATTCTCATTGCTCAGTAAACTTGGTCTTGGCGGGCTGTTCTTGCTGATCTTCTGGGGGAGGGGCCTATTGCCATGGTTCCCAGATGTCTTTGCCGGAGGTGGAATTGTCCCGCCCTTGTCGGTCCCGGCAAAGCAATCTGCTCAGGTTTGCTCTCTGGAGCTTTTGTTCCCTGCAAGCTTTCGGTACAGCTTTGGAGGATGAGAGTGAAAATAGCGGCCTCCCAATCTCTGCCCCGGAGGAGCTGAGAACTCGGGGCCCCACTCCTCAGTGAGTCCCCAGAGAAAAGCAGTCAGTCACTCCTGTCTCCCCAGTCTCTGGCTGCCCTCCGTGCTCACCTGGCCAGTGACCGAGCGTTTCTATCTCTGGCACCCGACCCGGTGTGGAGTCTCCAAACCCAGCTGATCCCTGCGGTGCGCTCCCACGCCGCTCCTCCCGGGGAAGGAAGGGGAGTCTCCCCGGATCTGCCACTTGTTGGGTCCCTGCTGGAAGATCAGTGGCCTGACTGTGCAGTGGATCACGGTTTATGACAACCTCGAGCTGAGAGCCCACTCCTGGGCTCCGTCTCTACAGCTCTCTTTACAGCCGGCTTCCCTGCTCTGATACCTGGGAGCTCTGCCACACTCAGGCACCCCCGGTCTTTCTGTGACCCCGAGGGTCCTGAGACCACACTGTCCCGTGAGGGTTCCACCCCCAGCTTAGCCGCTGGAGCGATGTCCCTCAGCGGAGCCGACTTCTAAAAGTTCCAATTTTGTGCTCCGCTGCTCTATCACTTGCCAGAAGTGGCCGCCAGAGGCCCCTCCCCCGCCGTCTACCCTCCCGAATATCGCCTCGGATTCACTTCTTCGCACGTCCTACCTTCCAGAAAGTGGTCGCTTTTCTGTTCAGAGAGTTGTTGCTATTCTTTTCTTCGATCTCCTGTTGAGATCGTAGGTGTTCAGAATGGTTTGATCCCTATCCAGCCGAATTCCTGAGACCAGACGAAATCCAGGTCTCCTACTCCTCCGCCATCTTGCTCCACCCCCCGGCAGTTTCTTTAAAAGTTAAACATACACTTACTATATATGATCCAGCCATTTCATCTTTAGTTATTTATCCAAGAGAAGAGGAAGCATATGTTTACATAAAGACATATATACACATATACACCTACATAAAGACCCACATATATAAAGCATTCACAGAAGCTCTATTTATATAATCACACTGTAAACAACCCAAATATCCATCAATAGATAAACAAAAATTTTGGTATATCAATACAATAGAATACTACTCAGCAGTGAAAAGAAATGAACTACAGGGTCACACAACAATATGTATGAATCCAAATTAATTATGCTGTGTGAAAGTAGCCAGACCAAAAAGAAAACTTACTGTAATGACTATTTATTTAATATTCTAGAAAATACAAATTAATCTATAATGATAGAAAGAGATTAGTGGCTGCCTAGTGATAAGGTGGTAGGTTGGAGGGAAAGAGGAATTACAAAGGGGAATAAGGCATCTTTTGGGAATATGCTCATTAATTTACCAAATTGTACATTTTAAGTATGTGCAATTTATTGTATGTCATTATATTTCAATTAAGCTTTTAAACGAAAAAAAAGATTAAATCTCATACCAGTGATGTCTAATACCTGATCCTTGGAATCAAAGACCATAATCTTGAAATGCTATTCCCATTAATTCACAAGGAAGTGACCTGAGGCAAGCCAGGGAGCTTACATTATCTGGAGGTCAGATCAGTGTGGCAGGTTGTTGGGAGTTTTAAGTCAGGTGATAGATGGTATTCACTCATTCATCCAAAAAATGTATGTGTATGCATGAGTGTGTGTGTATAAAACCTGCTATGCAGGGGTGCCTGGGTGGCTCAGTCGATTAAGCATCTGCCTTTGGCTCAGGTCATCATCCCAAGGTCCTGGGATGGAGTCCCCCTGTCAGGCTCCCTGCTCGGTGGGGAGCCTGCTTCTCCCTCTGCCTGCCACTCCCCCTGCTTGTGCTCTCTTTCTGACAAATAAATAAATAAAATCTTTAAAAAAAAAATCTACTATGCATTGCTAGGTATTATTTTAGGATCTGGAGATTTTTGACTCAACAGAGTTGAGTCAGATACAAATCCTGCTCTTAAGTCAAGGTCATGAACCAAGTAAATAGAGCTTTTCTTAAGTCTGAGACCATCCAGAAGCATGTGAGTGTCTGATAGGATGAGCTATGAGTGTGGAGGTGTCACACCCAGATCAGGCGGAACTGGGTTTGGGCATTGAAGTAGAGCTACATTGATCCAGGAAATGTCTCTGAGGATCCAGATTCTGGCCCTTTGACATTGAAGCTTGAGTCATTTAGCAAGGGTTATGGGTAGGAGCAGACTCCCTGATAAGGGGTGAGGTAGGGTAGATGCCCCCAGTGAGCCAAAGAATGAAAGGAAGCATGTAGAGAAATCGTCTATGTGAAGAATACCAAAGAAACTAGCTGACCCAGAGTGAAAATTCTATAGTAGAGAAAAGAGAAAAATAATACACCAGGGAATAGTTTGGTGGGAGGGACAGTGGACACAAATGGAATCTGAGGGGCTCTTAAAACCCAGTCTGAACAAGTGGAGCTCAGTGGGTGCCAGACAGGAATTAGCACAGACAGGGAGCAGAGAAAGGTCTTACTCCTCAGTATAGTGAGAAGTATAGTCAAATCAGAGGTTGGATGGGAATCCTTTCTTGTGTGAACCCAGGAAGTATAGCCAAGGACTCACAGCCAATCAGAAGAATATATTCAAAACAGGCCACTGTTTGACAAATGACAGGGGGAGGAGCCAGTCCTTTCTCACCAGTAGGGCAACAGATGACTGTAGAAGAATGAAAGTCATGGGATTTTTGACAAGGATCCAAGGAGAAGATATCCAGGTCAAAGCAGAAATTGGTGCCTATGGGGTGCTGATGGGAGATGTCCAGGTGGGGCCAAGTTAAGAGGGCTAAAAGCCAAAGATTACAGCCAATTTTAAAAGTGATTAGGACACACAGGGACTAGAGTTGGTCAGAGAGAGGTAAGACATTCACCAACAGATGTTTCAAGGACACAGGCCGCTTTTGAGATTGCCCAGGAACTCTGACTCTGCCCATTATGTCATATTCCACAGAGTCACATGTTAGTACCAGATTACTGAGGGCGTTGGCAGCCAAGCAGAGGAGTTTAGACATGAAGTAATGGGCACTAGGAACAACTGAAAGCTTTTAAGCAAGAGCACAACAAATTAAAAAAAAAAATCAATCTGGCAAAATTGGATAGAGAAAGAGATAGCTTGTCGAAGGCCAGTTTGAAAACTATCACAACAACTCAGTGGCTATATAGTGAGGGTGGCAGCTGTGAGAAAAGGAGTTGCTATCAGAGAGGTGGGAGAGGAAGCCAGATTATAGGAGATTAAGCTGGTTGCCTCTGTGGTAGATTGTAACAAAAGTCACAACTATAGATTGATAGTATGTGATAACACAAATATAGCAAAGTGTTAATTGAAGAAAAGAGGTGGTGGGCATGGCAGTATTCACAGTACAGTGTTTTTAAATTTTTTGTATGTTTGAAAATTTACACAATAAAATGGCAAGAAAAAAGGCCAAATACTATGCCCCTTCTTCTATCTGTGCCCTTGTCATATGATTTTACACATTCTCCTATCAGGTAGTGGACTCTTTTCTACCTGTGACTCTGAGTTGGCCATGCAACTTGATTTGGCCAATGGGACATTAGCAAATATGACACAAGTAAAGGCTTGAAGATTTGGGCATTGAGATTTACCATTTTTCTGATCTTGGGAACTTTGCAACTACCATCATATAAATGATCTTGGACTAGCCTGTTGGATGATGATAGACACATGGCCTAGTTATCCTCATCACTCTAGCTGACAACAAGCCAACCACTGGACATGTTTGTGGGACCATTGACTGCCAGCTGCGTCAGTGAGCCCTGCTGAGACCATCCCAAATTGTCAGCCTACAGAATTATGACCAAATAATTGACTACCATTTTAAACCACTAAGTTTTGAGGAAATTTGCCAGCAAAAGCCAGCTGATACATTCTACTTGTTATCCCTTTGACTCCATTCTGAGGGAACCCCATGCCGAGCCCTGTCTGTCTCTATGTGGCTCTGCAAAGTTTCAGGGAGAGGTCAGTGGTATCTGGGGGTTAGAGGGAGGATGACATGGTATGGGGACTGTGACATGAAAGGATGCCATGGGGTGGAGCCAGTGTGACATTAGGGCAAGAGTCAATGTGACATGGGTGAAGGCTCAGTTTGTTAGGTGAGGTGTGTAGCTCACAGAGGAGGGAGTTTATTTTGAACTTGAGGGCTAGTAAATGTCACACAGAGAGGTGAAGATCAGCCATACTAAGTGAAGACAGGTGAGTAAATGTAAGGGAACCAGCAACTGAAGTATTACTGGAGACAGTGGAATAAGGCAGACACAACTGGCCAGTTGAGACTTATCTTTGCTAATAAAGTTCTTGGCTTACAGGACATCCCTCTATGGTCAGGCATTTCACCTTAGAAAAATTTCCCAGACTACAATGGGAGGGCAGACACTCTAGAGAAATAAGGTCTGGCTGTCCTTCCCTTTGATGCCATCCTCCCTTGGTTTAGAGCACTTTGCTCCCTTGAATATCCCCACCCAACCTTGATATTTCTGCCTTTGCAAAGCTTCTAGCAGATCAGGCTTGTTGGTAGTTCACTCCCTTCCCAGGTCTTCTTACTGCAAGAGGGCATGGAGATCACAGACATGAAACACCTCTTTCTAGTCTTCAGCATTCTGACAGTGACTGGTAAGTGCATGTTCCTATTTTGGCTTAAAACTTTGAAAAGGTCATATTGGAAGAAAGTGTAGGAAATGGGTCTAGATAAGATGGGTGGAGAGTACATTAGTTAGAAAGATAAGAATTTGGGATACTGGTGATTGGAAGTTTCCTAGCCCACTCAGAGATAATCTAGAGCCCACTGATTTTCCTCTGGCTTCATGGGTGCAAGAGAAGATTCAGACTGAGATAATAAGACTTGGCACAATGGATGGTGGGTGTTGACAAAAGAATGTGATTTTGCTATATAGCTAGGAAGGAAGCTTAAGGAAAAGAAAAATCAAGCTGAAGGAGGGAGAAGAGGAGTAAAAAGAAGGATACAAATACAGAGGGAAGTCTAAGGGGAAATTAACAGAAGGACCCTGAAATGGTTCAGTAACTCCTCAAATGTCAATAACACATTGACCATTTCAAAGCACTTCTGCATAAAGTGTTTCAGACTTCTATCTTCTGGAATATCTGCCTGTCTCTAAAATTCTGTCTTCCTTTCCCCTATCTGACAGTAGTAACAACAATAACTGTAAAACCAACACCGATACAAGTAAAATTAGCCCAGCAGTTCAATCAGATGGACATCAAAACTGTACCAACCTTTTTGGTTTTCCTGAACTCAGAATATAAGTCTTGTTTGGGGACCCTGATCCACAAACAGTGGGTTCTCACTGCAGCCCACTGCTTCTTGCCGTGAGTAATGGGGGTCCTAGAGGGAGAGGTAAGGGGGTACTGAGGCTCGGCCCTGAAGAAACTTGCCCAGGAGCTCTCAAGCCTGAGAAGTGAGTGATTGGAAGGAGGCAGGAAATAGATCTAGGTGGTTATGAGCTAGATTTCTGGATGGGATGATGTAGACAGAGGGAACTGGGGAAGCTGAGGACTAAGGGATGAATCAATAGGGAAGAAAAGCCTATATACAATGTGGTATAGATCAAAGAATTATAGAAGTGCAGTAGAAATTGCTCATTTGCCAGACAAGGAAATGGAGGTCTTGGCAAGTTATGGAAGGAATTCATACAAAGTCACAAAGCAAGTTGGGGGAGAAAGGATACAAGGTGAACAATAGAATAATATCTAATCCTTCATGGCCTGTTCCAGATTTCTTGAGATAAACATTGCTGCTTCAAAAGAGAGTTTCCAAAACAAGATTGGAAACTTAAGACCCATGCTTACTGTCCAACACCCAGATTTTACCCGGGATTCTGCTGAGCATGACCTCATGCTTATCAAGCTGAATCATCCCCAAAAGTTCAACGATCAGGTGAAGCTGGTGGTTCTGCCCAATACCACAGATGACAGAAGAGGGGAAAAGTGCACAGTCTCTGGCTGGGGCTGGGAATGGAAGAATTCCAGTGAGTGGCCCTCAAGACAGACCCTTAGTGCTCCTTAAGTATCCACTCAAAGAGGATTATCATATAATTTTTATTATAGGTCATGAGAATTGGAAGAAACCTGAGAACTTATAATATCTTAACCTCTAGTTTTATTTATTTGGAAATTGAGGCCCAAGCTGGTAACATGACTGTTTATGGCTGGAGGTCTCTGGAGTCCAGTGTTCTTGACTCATTCATCCCCCAGGTGAGGGCGAAAAGGTGTCTGGGTGAGGAAGGGGTTGGCAAGTAATCCCACTGGTGACGCTAAGTGTGACTTATTCATTAGAAACTTAGAGACAAGCATTCACAAAAAAAAAGCATGCACACACAAGCCCAAGGTATGCAGTTTGCAACACTGGGACTAGACCATGGTTTTCTCATTTCATTATGTTTCTTCTTCTCTGGTTCCTTTTCATTTTGGCTTTTTCTTTCATTGAATGATGGAGGGGTTGATAACAGAAAAGAGGGAGTGAAGGGGAGAAGAAAGGGAGATGAACATGTTAAGAATCAAAGAGAAACAAAGCCTTTTCTCTCTTTCTGTGTGTGTGTGTGTGTGTGTGTGCGCGCACACTCATGTTCATAGACACAGAGCCTGATATCCAGCTAAACCAGACTGTCTTTTGGTTCTCTAATGATGACTGCCAAGAGTCTCCCGTAGGACAAATTCCTGTTAAAATCACAGAGAACATGTTCTGTGCAGGATCATCTCTGGAGAACACACACACATGTAAGGTAACTCTTTTCCCTCTGCCCCATTTGAGTTTGGTCTAGGACACTGTTTTGGGGTCCACATATCTCCCTCAACCAATCTAATTTCCTGTCTCTACATTCAAGAAGAGATAAAGGTAAATGGGATCCAGGAAAGAATGTGTCTTTTCAATAATGAATGAACTTAGATGCCAGGGCAGAAACATCTCAGAGTGTTCTTATTTCTTCATGGCTAACTCTGATGTGGCCTAGAATGAGTGCTGGGATGGGCCCAAGATATCCACCAGACATTTCTCCCAGTCCTTATCACCTAAGTCTTTCTATTCTGGACCCCTCAGATAGTGACTTGACTCTAGGTACTAGGTCATCTTTGTTTTGGCTATCCTGCCTGACCCATCTGTCCTTTTCCTAACAGGAATTAGCTGCTGCCCCAATCCTGTGCCAGAATCAGCTCCACGGGATCCTATCTTGGTCAGCAGGATGTATTCTGAGAGGTGATATTGGCTACTACACCAGGGTTTCCCACTATACAGACTGGATCCACAAAGTCATCCACAATAACTGAGCTCTCTCTAGTCCCTCTCCCAGGGGCCTCAGAACTGGGTCTACCATCTTGACCCTTCCTTTCCCTCGAGCCTCAGAACAAGATGGGAATAGCGTCTTTGGCTATCAGAAATTTTCTGTTCCTTCTGTTCTCTTGACTTCCCTTCTCCTTTCTCAGTCCTAGCCTGAATGATCATCAAAGGATTTGAGCTTGTTAGCATTCTCCTAAATAAGCTAACTTCTCACCACTCCCTTCCTCTCCTCCAACTTCCTACCCACCTGCCATGGTTTCATCAGACTTTTATGGAACAGTTCTCCTCCAACCTCTACCCTCCAGAGGACATATGGGCCTCAGGAATGTGATGATGAGACTGTGGCATCTCTAGGGTCTGACAGGCCTCTGAGTCAGGCCTGTGCCCTCTCACTCCGTCATATCTAATAAGGCTCAAAAATGCTGCAGTGTTATTAGGCTGCTGGCAAATAATTCTTAGAGATAGAGGCTAGAGTTTTATGATAACAAGAACTATAAGGGCTTCAAAAATGGTTAGGAGATGAAGCAGAAGTGGGTGCAGAGAGGAGTTAAATGGGTCAGACCACCAACGGGAGGAAGAATGATCGCCTGATCATCTGTGCTAAGCACAGAAAAAAATCTAAGATAGGTGGCTGGAAAGAGAATGGTAGAAGGATAATAGGGAAATATTGAAACCTAGGTGAGTATAATTGTGTTTGTGTGTGTCTGTGAGTGTGCATATGCACGTGTGTGTATAGACTGGTGGAGATGTGTGCAAAGAATCATCTCACTGAACCAACCAAAATCTATCCTACACCAATTGCCAATTCAGCTGATTTTCTCCAAATCCTGAATTCACCTGCTCTTATCCTACCTTTCTCAATTATTAAATTTTAAAAAAACTAAAATAGGTCCTATTTTTTATTATAATATTTTATTTTGAAATTGGTTAAGACAAGAAATTGTAAAAAAATATTACAGAAAGTTTCTGTGTACCCAGTCTTGCCCCATTGATAATATTTCCTATAACCATAGTAAAATGTCAAAACCAGGAAATTCACAGTGGTACAATGCTGTTCATTCAGGTACAGATTTTATTTGGATTTCACCAGTCTTTCTTTATATACACTCTTTTTAAGGGTAAAATTTGAAATCTTATCGCATATATGGATTCCTATGACCATCACCACAAGCAGAATCCAAAACTGTTCTATCACCATATGATCTGAAAGAAACTTCTTCGTGTTATACTTTAATAATCACACCTCTTCCTGGCCCTAACCCTTGAAACCATTGATCTATTCTCCACCACTACAATTTTGTCACTTCAGGAATGTTCTGTAGTATGCAATCTACATAAATCCACTACTCTTTTATTCATTCATGATGTTCCAAGAGTCCTTTCATTGTCATTTCCTTTCTATCTGAATAACTTTTTTAGCCATTCTTTTAGAGCAAGTCTGCCGGTGACAAATCCTCTTAAAGTTTCTTCACCTTATTTCTTGAAGGATATATTTTTTTAAGATTTTATTTATTTATTTATTTATTTATTTGATGACAGAGAGAGAGAGAGCCCAAGCAGGGGGAGTGGAGAGGGAGAAGCAGGCTCCCCGCTGAGCAGGGAGCCCGATGCAGGACCCGATGCCAGGACCCTGGGATCATGACCTGAGCTGAAGGCAGACGCTTAACCATCTGAGCCACCCAGGCGCCCTTGAAGGATACTTTTAGCTGGATAAAGAATACTGGGGGCGCCTGGGTGGCTCAGTCCATTAAGCATCTTCTTTCTAGGCCTGTGTTGGGCTCCCTGCTCAGCAGGGAGTCTGCTTTTCCCTTTTCCCCTGCCTCTGCTTGTGCTCACACTCTATCATAAATAAATAAAATCTTTAAAAAAAAAAAAAGAATTCTGGGTTGACAGTGATTTTCTTTCAGGACTTGGAAAATGTTTGCCTCTTTCTTCTGTCCTTCAAGTTTCTGAGGAGAAATCTGTTATCATTTGACTCATTGTTCCCCAGTTGGTAATGCATGGTTTCTCTCTGGCTCTGGCAGCTTTCGAAAGTTTTTCTTCATCTGCCTTCAACTTCCCTTTTCAGAGATTTAATTGTGACATGTCTGGGTGTGAATTTTTTAAAAAGTTTATTCTGTTTGGGGGTACATCCAGTGTCTTGAATCTGTAGGTTTATGTCTCTCACCAAATTTGAGAAGTTTGAGCCATTACTTCTTCAAGTATTTTTCAGCTTAGTGTTCTTTTTCTTCTGAAATTTTGATAACATGAATATTAAATCTTCTGTTATTATTCCACAGGTCCCAGGGGATCCATTCATTTTTTTTTTAAATCCCTTTTTCATCTGTTGTTCATATTGATAATTTCTAGTGCTCTACCTTCAAGTTCACTGACTCTTCTGGCCTGCCAATTTTGCTATTGAATTCATTATTTTAATTATGTTATTATTTTCTATATTTATGATGCTTTCACATCTTGGGAGCCTTGCTGGCTACGGAAAAAGTGCCCTTCCCAGAGCTAACTAATTCCTGGAGGTAGTAAATGACTCTGTCTACCACATGCTTTTTATATGCAGACCCACCAATCCAGAGCTCTACCCCAACCACCTCCTTTATCCAACTTTCACACACCAAGCCAATATTTCCCCTGCTCTAAATCACACGGGGCCAGATATTGAACAACTAGAGATCACCACCATAGCTCAGAGCCTGCTGAAATTACTCAAACTATTCAATCCTAAACTTGTTCAAACTTGACTACTCTGCCTCACCCGTTCCTTCTGTTGGTTTCCAAATAAAGGCTTGTGCCTGTGCTTTCCTCTCACTCCTCCTGCCTCCTGACTGACTCTAGTACTTCTTCATGTAGACTTGCATGGCAGCATGCCTCTTAAACTCTTCTTTCAATGGCACTGACCTATCAGTGTTATCATTTAGTCACTTTTAGAAATTAAATCGTAGGTTCAATTAAAACACCCATCTAATGAATTTTTTAGTTCAGTTATTATATTTTTAAATTCTAAAATTTCCATTTGGTTTATCTTTATATCTTCTATAAAATTTGCTAAGATTTTCTGTTTCTTCTTCATTTGACTCTAGTATTTGCAATTGCTTATTAGAATGTTTTTATAATAGCTGCTTTAAAATCCTCGTCTGATAATTCCAACATCTTCATCATCTTGATGTTGACATCTGTTGATTATATTTTCTTACTGGAGTTGAAATTTGCCTAATATGGTGAGCAGTTTTGTACTATATCCTGGACAGTTGGATATCATAAGAGTCTGATTCCTATTTAGATATCCTAACTGAGGGGAGCCTGAGTGGTTCAGGCAGTTAGGTGTCTAACTCTTGATTTCAGCTCAGGTTGTGATCTCAGGGTTGTGGGATCAAGCCCCATGTTGTCCTCTGCACTGGGCGTGGAACTCACTTGGGATTCTCTCTCTCCCTCACCCTCTGCCCTTCCCCCACCCCCATTCACTCTTTCTCTCCTCTAAAAAAAAGATATCCTAACTGAGCATGTACTTAACCTATTTATGTTCAGAATGTATGGCCTAGCCCACTTTTGTGGGCTATGATTCAAATGTCAATTTGGTTTATAAAGCCTCTAGAGTGTTATTCTGTAGGGAGTTGTGGTGACAGAACAATGACACACACACACACACGCACACACACAAATTGTCTACATCCTAATCCTTAGAACCTATGAATATGTTACCTTACATGGTAAAAGAGACTTTGCAAATGTGATTAAGGTAAGGATTTTTTTTTTTAAATTGATTCTTTTATTTTAAGATTTTATTTATTTTTGACTGAGAGAGGGAGTGTACAAGCAGGGGAAGAAGCAGGCAGAGGGAGAGGGAGAAGCAGGTTCCCCACCGAGCAGGGGGCCTGATGTGGGGCTCGATCCCAGGACCCTGGGAGCTGAAGGCAGATGCCCAACCATCTGAGCCACCCAGGCGCCCCAAGGATCTTGATATGGGAAGATTAGCCTGGATTTCAAGGTGGGCCCAATGTAATCACAAGTGTCTTCATAAAAAGAAGGCAAAAGGATCAAAAAAAGAGGGGAGATGTGATCACAGAATTAGAGGTTGGAGTGATGTGCTTTAAAGATAGAGGAAGGGGCCATGAGCCAAGGCACACAGGCAGCCTCTAAAAGCTGGAAAGGTAAGGAAATTGGTTCTCCCCAAAGCCTCCAGAAAGGCTTCCAGAAAGAAGGCAGTTCTATGGACACCTTGATTTTAGCCCAGTAAGACTCACTTTGGCTTTCTGATCTCTAGAACTGTAAGATAATAAATTTGTGTTGTTTTAAGCCACTAATTTTTGGCAATTTTTTATAACAGCAATAGGAAACTAATACATGGTAGAAGTTAATTAGAGTTCTGCCAACCAGCCCCACTACTGGAGCACCATAGGGATGAGGGAGTACATGGCTTTTTCATAGGTTTTATCTCAAGATCAAGGAAATTACCAATAACTTATTGGTTTAAAACAACAAAAATGTATGATCTCATGGTTTCCTTAGTTAAGAATCCCATAGCTCAATGTCTCATAAGGCTAAAATCAAGATGTGGTCCAGCCACATCCCCACCTGTAAGGTTCAACTAGGGAAAGATCCTCTTCCACCTCTTTCACATTGCTGGCAAAATTCATTTCCTTTCAGTTGTTAAGGCTAAGATCCCTGAGTCTTGCTTGCTACTTGTCAGCAGGGGACCACATTCAGCCCCTAGAGTCATTCTCAGATCTTTCCCATGTGGACTCCTCCATCTTAGCAACAGAAAACCACCCTCATGTCAAATGTTTCCCATGTTTTGAATTTCTCCGACTTCCCCTTCTACTACCAGGCAAAGAAAACTCTTAACTTTTAAAGGGCTCATGTGATTAGGCCAGGACCACCTGGATAATCTCCTTATCTTAATGTCCACCATGCCATATAACATAGCCTAACCACAGAGGTCATGTCCATCAAATTCACAGTTCCAGGTCAGGGCATCTACTCAATGGCAGGAAACTTGGGGGTACATCTTAGAATTCTGCCTACCACATATAGTTAAGAAGTTTCTGTTCTATTGGGCTTCTCCTTTCCCATTCCTTTGGCTAGAGAGATAAGATTTTCTTATT